CCCATAGCGAGATTTTTTTCTTAAGAAGTGAATGATATGTTCAGTTTATTTGTATGACCTTAGGCAAGTTGCTGCACTTCTGAGTCACCATTTCCTTCTCTGGAGTGGTAATAGTTCCCTTACTTGGCTGTTGGGAGGTTTAAATAAGTTAACATATATAAATGCTTTACACACGCTATGTAGCCAATGAAAGTTAATGTTATTTCCTAATACATAATTTAGGCAAAGACCAGATAAAAGTATATTTAAATTATTTTTACCAAATAATTTGCCAAGTGTTTTTTTTTTTTTTTTAGTTCAAGTCGACAAGTATTTATTTGATGTACCTACAAAATAGGTACTTCTCAATGGAAATTAAAACAACTTGGGAATCATTTTTTAAATAAGAAGTTAACTAAGGAAACTATATTGAAAACAGTATCTGAATAAACATTTCTTTGGGCAAGTCACTTAGCCTTCTAGCTCTTTCCTCATTAGAACAAACAAACAAAGAAACAAAAAAACCCAAACCCACTGTCATTGAGTGGATTCGGACTCATAGAGACCCCCATTGGGTTTCGAAGGCTGCAGATTTTTTCCAGAAGTAGTTTGCCTCATCTTCCTCCTACAGAATAGTTCGTGGGTTTGAACCATCAACTTTTGGTTAGCAAGCAAATGTCTTACCCACTATGCCACCAGAGCTTCTTTCATCTGAACAAGGGAGGTCATAATTCCTAATTTATGAGCATATTATGGGGATTAAGTAAATGTAAAATGCCTAGTATAATGCCTATTGTAATGGATACAATAAATATTAACCCTTGCCTGCATGAGTCTGAGTAACTTCAGCAACTGGTTTTGCTTTTTCCTGATCACGGAAGAACACAGAGATTAGTAAGACCTAGTTCATTTGTATTTATATATATATATTTATATAATTTATATACACAGGAGAACATACACATATTCAACAATTTCTACATGTACAATTCAGTGACATTGATTACATTCTTCAAGCTGTCCAACCATTCTTAACTCTTTTTTTCTGAGTTGTTCCTCCCCCTTTAACATAAACTCACTGTCCCCTAAGTTTTTTGCTAATCTTTTGAGTTGCTGTTATCAATTTGGTCCCACGTAGATCTTAAAAGAGCACAATGCTCAGGCAGCCATTCTTTACTAGTTAAGCTAAACAATTGTTTGGTTTTAAGATTTCAGGGGATATTTTTGGTTTAAGGTTTAAAGCTTATCTCAGGGCAATAGTTTCAGAAGTTCTTCCATCCTCCATGGCTATAGAAAAGATAGATTCCACAAGACTTTGGGATTCCATTCTGCATTTTCCTCCTTTTGAACAGGATTTCTCTATATAGTCTTTGATCAAAATGTTCAGTAATGGTAGCTGGGTACCATCCAATTTTTCTGTTTCATGGTCAAGGAGACAGTTGTTCATGGAAGCAATTAGCTATACACTCCATTTCTTCCTACTTTTTCCTTTTCCTTCAATGTTGCTTTAGCTATTCGGGACCTCTTTGCCATTCTGTATAAAGCTGAGGATTGGTTTTTCCATTTCTATAAAGAAGGCTGTTAGATTTTTGATCACTATTATGTTGAATCTATAGCTCTCTTTGGGGGTAGTATTGACATCTTAACAGTATTAAGTCTTCTAGTCCGTGAACATGGAACATTTTGGCATTTATTTATGTCTTCTTTAATTTGTTTCAACAGTGTTTTTAAATTTTTATTGTATGCATCTTTCACTTCCCTGGTTAAATTTATTCTCAAACCAAAAACCAAACTCACTGTCATGGAGTCGATTTGACTCATAGCGACCTTTCCTTGGATTTCTTAGGCTGTATCTCTCCGGAGCATAGTGCCTAAGCCATTTAACTGCTAATCAGAAGGCTGGCAGTTCATACCCACCAGGCACTCCTCGGAAGGAAGATGGGGCAATCTACTTCCGTAGTTTTACCGTCTCAGAAACCCAAGGAGGGGTCCCTATGAGTCAAAATTGACTCGATGGCAGTGAGTTTGGGTTTTTTTTAATTTTGATCTCTACGGAAGTAGATTGCCTAATCTTCCTTCCGAGTAGTGGCTGGTGGGTTTGAACTACCAGCCTTCTGGTTAGCAATCAAATGCCTTAGGCACTATACCACCAGTGTTTTATTATCTTGGATGCTATTGTAAATGGAATCATTTCTCTAATTTCTCTTTCAGATTTCTCATTGCTAGTGCATAAAATCCCAACTGATTTTTGTTTGTTGACCTTGTGCCCTGCAACTTTGCTAAATTCCTTATTAACTCTAGAAGTTTCCTTGCTGACACTTTGGGATTTTCCATGTGTAGGATCATGTCATCCTCAAGTAAGGATAATTGTACTTCTTTCCCAATCTGGATATGTTTTGTTTCTTTTTCTTGCCTTATTGTTCTGGCTAAGACTTCTAATACAGTGTTGAACAGAAATAGTGAAAGTAGGTATCCTTGTCTTGTTGCCAGTTTTAAGGGGGAACACTCTTACTCTTTCTCCATTAAGTATGGTGTTGACTGTTGGCTTTTCGTATATAACCTTAATCACATTAATGAACTTCCTTTCTCTTCCAGTCTTCTTGAGAGTAAGACCTAGTTCTTACCGTCAGAGTACTTATAACTTGATATGAAAATAACTGCTTTTTTTATTTTTTTTAAGGGGATATAATGTACAGCAGAATGTAATCAAAATTTATAAATCTTTTAAATCACTGAAAATCCTCAAATTAATCTGGTGGACCATTAATATTCAGGGGTAGAAAATAAATTAAAAGGTTTTTTTTGTTTAATAGTAACTTACTTAATTTGAACTCAAAGATACCTTACCTATCATCTTTAAATACTTCTTAAGCTTGGAGAGGAACCACTTGTCATGTTCATGACCTATCATTGGATGTTAATTATTCTGAGGATGAATGTTTAATAAACATGTAGGAGTGATGAATTTTACACATTGCTACCAGTGAAAGCGTTTCTGTTCTGTTAAAATATTGGACCTGTACATTGAATATGAAAACAATTGTCTGATTAATTACTTACTTTTAAAATGAGACTAATTTGGTTTAATTTCCTCTGGCAAGTATTTATTTATAATACTTGAATCAAGGAGTGCTTCACAGTTAACCAGTCTTTGTTACAATATCTCAATTTTGCACCAAATGGCAGTTTTGCCCAATTGCATTTCCAGCCAGGGCCATTTTTTACCCCTCAATAGATAATCTGTCATCACCATGATTGGCATAGTCCACCACAACACACATATCCTGAGCCCAGGCTTCCTGACTGTTTCTTGCTTTCCTTTTTACTTTGTTGGTAAAACATGGTCATGATTTATTGTTAGGGAATGAATTTTTTGACAGATTGGTAATAAATTGTAATGCAGTTGTCTTTATTTTTCTTCCCTCATTTTAAGTTGTAACCTAGATCTTTGGAACCACAGAACTTTGAAGAAGTAAATTTGATGGCCAAGAACAGTATCACTTAGAGAGTTTTGTGAAAATTATCAGTGCCTGGAGCCTCACCCATTCCAGTTGAATCAGAAGGGGGAGAGAGAGGAGCATTAGTGTTTTAAAAAAGCTTTTTAGGTGATTCTGAAATGCAGCCATGGTGAGAAATCACTAACCTAGAAAGAGCAGTCATAAGATTGTGGTTATATTTAAAAAAAAAAAAAAAAAAAAAATTGATGCCCAAAATGAATGTTCATTGAAACATGAGATATTTAATGGTGTGGCATAGTCTTTAGTTAGTATGCCCTTGTCCTGTGTCAGTTTCAGTAGATAGTTGGAAAGTTTCTTAAATCACCTCTTGAAATATATTTAATTGAAGATGGAAGTCTTGATTTAACTATGTCACATTTTTTAAAGGTTAAATACCTAAAGCATTTGTTTTCCAGACTTGATGAATACAACACACACATTCCTTTTCTCGTGTCATGTTGTATATTACTGAAAATTGAAATAAAAACCAAAAACCAAACTCAGTGCCATCAAGTTGGATCTGACTCATAGTGACCCCTCCTTAGGTTTCTGAGGTGGTGTCACTACGGAAGTAGGTTGCTCAATCTTCCTTCCATGAAATGGCTGGTGGGTTTGAACTGCCAACCTTCTGGTTAGCAGTCAGATGCCTTAGGCACTACGCCATCATCTTTTAGGCCACTTTGGCATCCTTGAAGTCCAAAAATTAGCCAGACTTTGGATATCTGCTGTTAATACTCCAGTAAGTATTTATAGAAAAGATGCATGTTATACTTCAACAATAAGACATACTTTACATTTATGGTTAACCTTTTGGTGTGGCGATAAACCTCATCTGTATTAGTTGTGGCCTGTTTCCTATAGATCTCTGCAGTATATTCTCTAAGATAATAAGTATAGCTATACATAGTCACAGTTTTATTCCAACTAGTCTTAATTTATCTTACAAAATTAAAAGGTTTAATTTAATATTTGTAGTAGAAACACATTTTGTGTCCTATATGTAAAGATGAAAATATCTAGCCTAAATTAGCTCTGTTGAAATACGAACTGGTCTGCATTCTGCCACATCCGACAAAGAAAGTACTGTTAAAACTATGCGGTTCAACTCTATATGTTAAGAACTCATCTCTCTTAGATGTTGAAGCATTTGCTCAGCTCTAAACTCGTTGAAGTTTAATTACATTCAAAGAAAGATCTTCTAACAACTGTTGCTGAATAAAGAATACGTGTTTAATTATTTCATTCTACCTCTGCTGGCCAGCTCCTTCAACTCATCTTACAAACCTTCCCCAAATACTTACTTGCTTTTTAAAATATTCAGTGTCAAGACAAAAGTACATAGTTTAAGTAAATAAGGAAGCAGGCATTCTTCTTCCCTTCCCACCTACTTGATCCTAAATTGTAAGGCCTGACATGTCAAATTTTAGATCACTAGACCAACCCTTTGGCATTAAATACCAGGCTGACTTCATCTTTACTCCATAATCTTTCTCATTGCTACTTTTTTTTCCATTAAAGCGTCTGTTAGTTAGTGAGTTTTTCAGTTCCTTCCTCATCTTTTCTTTCCCTTGTAACTGTGAGCACTCCAGTGGATTGCATCATTAGGTTGGGTCCTGTAAGTTGTTTTGCTCTTTTCCAAGTGTCTGAATCAGCAGGCCATAGACCACTGCTTGCCAGAAAATCACCATTGCTTCTAGGCTGACGCTTTCCTGCTTGTTTTGATCTTCTGAGAGATGAGACTTTGTTTGCCAGAATCACAGTGGATAGAAATAGAAGAGTACAAATAAGAAAAAGCACTGCGATTATAATGAAGCAAATTAGCATGGCCATTTTGTTGTTGTTCTCGTCACAGATATCCTTTTTGAAAATTTCACTGTGACTTTTGCTTGTATTTTCAGTGTTCTGTACTGTTGGAGAACTGTTTCTGACAAAAGTAGGTGTATGAATCTCCTGTTCAGCTGTAGGAGTTACAGATATGATGTGAGATGATGTTGCTATTTCAGGCATGCTTGTAGAATTACCTTTATAATCTACTTCAAGAGTTGTAGGATTTGTGTTAATGTTTTCTTCTTGGTTTTTGCCTGTCTTAGTTTGAGTAACTGGATTCCAGACAGTATTGTTAGCCCACAGATGGGTATAGTTTGCTTTTGTTGCAGGGGACAGAAAAAAAATTGTTGTCATCAGGAAGGCAAGATGCAGGTAATGTCCCATGAGTTCCATGTCCGTGAGTATGCTGGTAATCTGTTGAGATAGCAGTACAATTTGTTAATTTGACAAGGAATAAAGGTTTCTCATTTTGGTAGTTGTAGTTGAAAGCTATAAACTCACGCATAGCATTTGCTGTCCTGCTCAACTAAAATTTGTGTTCTGTTCTAAGGCTTTGTATAAAGAAATATTTTAACTTCTATTACACTTTTAAATGCTAGAAGTTTGCATTACAATAACTATTAATCATTTTAAACTGAACATGGTGGCTTTACGTAGTCTTCTTCCTTTCAAGCATTTAGACTTCAGCTTTGAGTCAGATACTTCTGCTTTTACTTTCTTGATTCCTCCTTTTACAGAAAAAGATTCAAGGATCATTCTTGCAGAAACTCTCCACCCGCTAACAAATGTGTCACCAGTCTTTATATTAAAGGAGAAAAGTGGCCATGAAGCACTTTGGGTCATGTATGACTTTTTTGGGGGGGCGGATGAGAGGTGGAAAGGAACAATCAAAAGAAAGTGGACAGTCTCAAAAATTCAGCAAAAGTTACTGATTTTTGTTCATCATTAATTAGACCTAGCCTTTTTCTATGAGAAATTTAACATAATTTTAGAAAGAAATGGTACAATAAAATAAAAGAAATAGGGTATCAGGATCATGGGTATTTAGAATGAAGTAGAAAAACAAGATACGCTATAAGAGTTTCAAAATTAATTGAAAAAGTTGAGTTTCAAGTTTGGTTTGAGTTGCTTGGAAGCTAGTGCAAAAAGGTGACAATCAAGTTCTGTTTATAATTATTATCCACCTTATGACTGAAGATTTAAATAGAACTGGCATGTTTATTACAGGTGCTGGTAATCTAGCAGAAAGATTTTATCACCTCCATTAAGATTTCTCTTTTATAATAATTTACCAATTTGTGTGAGCTTATTTGATAATATTTTATTATTAGCATTTATTTAAGGGAACTAGAAACAAAAAATCTAGATTGTTCTCCTGAGATTGACTGAATGAAGTTGCCTGTTTAAAAACCCACTGTATTGTTTAGAAGTTCTCAAACTTAAATGTACATGGAACTGTTATTTTAATTTTTTTAGTGTAGCTTAGGATTCAGTATGTGTAGATGGGGCCTAAGATTCTGCATTTCTAATCTCCCAAGTGATAAAGATACTACTGTTAGTTTAGGAACCATGCTTTGAGAATCAAAGTTTTATAAAAATAGTTTGTTACATGCCATTAGATAACATATGTACACCATTGATACACAGAAATTGAGAGTAACACGTGTGATATGTTGAGTTATACAAACAAAAGTTGTTGTTGTTGTTATGTGCCATCAAACAAAAGTAGCATATAAGAAACAATACTAACTGGAAACTAACATCTGAAATAACATTTTACGTTAATAACAGGAAAAATCCTTATTAAATGTTCTAGAATTAAGTTCATTTTTTAGGCTATGACCTTTAACTGATTTTCACAGAATAATGCTCAACTTCAGCTTTTGATTTGAAAGGCATAAATCTTTTAATACTTTTAGGATTCTATCACAATGAGAAATACTTGAATTTGAGTTAGCAAGTAATTTCTGTCCTTTTATACTAGACTGGACTTCTGCATTAGATGCTGAAATGATTTAGAGTGGGTTATTCTTGTCACATTAGTTCATTAACAATGTAGTATGCATCATAGCATTTGTACACATTTTAACAGTGGTTACCAAGGATTACTGTGAGTCGGAACCAAGTTGATGGCACCTAACAATAACAACAACAACAAAAAAAAAAATCTCGGGACAGATAATAGACCCACTGTTGATTGTCTTCAGTCAGATGTACTGCCATCCCGAAATAAACAAACTGTTGACAAAATGAGACTTTTTCTTACTCTTACAGATGGCTAAGAATTAAGAACTCCCTCTGTGTCCCTAATTTATGCTATGGAGGCTATGCTATGTTATCAATCATTTTCTTTATCTGATCATTTTCAATAAAATGCATAATGCCTAAGCATTAGTCATGAGAAACTCATTTTTTTTTTTTTAAACTTTTTATTTTTCCAAGTAAGGCATTCCAGTTCATTCTTGGAGTCCAAATTCAGACCTTCCTAATCTTTATTTAAAACTATGTTGATTGTAAATTTTTCTACTTCTAACTTAAGTTTTACTTAACAGAACAGAAAAATATAGAATGCATTTTCAGTCACTTAGGATTTTACTCTGTTAGTGAGATTCTTAAGTACTATTTGAAAGTACTTCCTCAAATATGAATCAGTGCAAAGTTACAAGTGAAAAGGTGTAAGAAAAGCCATATATATATATATATATGTATATATGACCTACCTTATGAAATGCTTGGTCAGAATCTGTTTATAATGTGATTTTAATAAACCACGTCTTTTCTTCTCTTGAAGCACAGCTTCCAAGTAATTTAAAGCAGAATAAACTTGGAGATAAAGAACCTTAAAGTAAATCGGCAGTAAAAAAGGATATTCAGCTAGTTTTCCACTTTTAAAGCCAAACCACAGATAGATGACACATTTCCTTTCCGCTGCAACTAAAGCACATGTCAGAGGGAAAAAAAAAAAAAAAAAACCTCCAGTGGTCTTGTTGGCCACTGGAATGACAGGAGGCTTTGTGAAACAAATCCCGCCCCCAGAGCATGGAGGATTTTCCACTTAAGGCCTTTTGACCTTCTGCTCTCGTTATATATGCCTGCATTAGTATCACTCAAGATTATGAAATGGCATCTTTCCTGCAGCATTAAAATCTTCTCTAAAAATTTCATTTGTATACCATAGACGGATTTGATAACATGAATCTAGAAACCTGGGGTATTGGCCAGATAATAGAAACAGTGCTATTTATGATTGGCATCTCAAATTATGGAACTACAAAATGATTTGAGAAAAAAAGTCTAGCTTACATGGGAAAGAAAATGCCTTTGTGTCATGTAGTATGTATGTTTGGCACAGTGGCTGCAATGGTGGGTTCAAACACAGCAATGATTGTGAGGATGGCACAGGCCTAGGCAGTGTTTTGTTCTCTTGTATATAGTGTCACTATGAGTCAGAACTGACCCCACAGCACCTGACAACAACAACAACAACGGGTGCATGCACATACCTGTCTGTGTCCTGAAATCACTTCAGACTCATCTGTCTAAAACAGACTTGATTTTCCCCGCACAAGTAGCTGTTCCTTATGATCTCTCTGTTCTGCTCATGATAGCAGCATTCATTTTTACCTCAAAGACTCCGTACATAGCAAGTTCTTTTAATTCAAGCCCTTTCTTGCAGCCCTGATCAGGCCTTAGATTGTATTGATCCTTCTTATATCCTTAGATCAATTTCTCTCTCTCTTTTTAGTTTCACCATAGTATTTTAGATCCTTGTTAGGCTATAATTAGACTGTAGCTTTTTTATTAGCCCCCCTCCCCATTTCATTTTGCACGTATCGCTTTCTTTGAATTGGTGATTGAGAAATTTTTGTGTACATAAGTAAACATCAGATGAGAAGGTTGTTCACAAGTGGTGAAAATTGCCAGACCCCACTCCGTAGATTCATATTTAGTAGAACTGGGCGGGGGCAGAAAATGGCATTTTTATCAGGCGCCACAGTTGATTCTTATGCTAACAGTCCATGGAACATACTATGAAAAACACTGAGGCCCCAGGAGAATATCTAAGCCCCCTGGTTAAACAGTGGTTAAGGTCCCTTAATAAATTGGCTGTTACCTGTTTTTCATGCTTTATGTCTCAAAACTTTCCTACATGAATCCTCCATTTCTGCCAAACTAGCTGACTGTTTCCTCAACATGTCCAGTTACCTATTTCTTTTCCACTGTCTCTCTTCCCGAGGCTTGCTAGATCCCCCTCTTGCTGTGTTCTGTATTTCACACGGACTCAGTTCAGCCACTGCATGTTATGTAGAGCTTTCACTGACTACCCAGTTGGTGTTGATCTCTCCCTCTTCTGAACTCAATAGCTGTGTTCTTCTCTGTAGTTCTTTGATAAGTGATTGCTTTTTACCTCATTTCTTTTATCTTGAAATATTTTTCTTTTGTTTTAAATCATTTAGTTTGCCTTATTTTTTTTTTTTTCTTATCTCTTCTCCAAAAGATTAAGAGCTCTAGAGGTGAGGATATTTATCTTACTCTACTTACAGTACTGTTGCCAGAGTCACCAAATACAGAATATTAACCAAACCAAACTCACTGCCGTTGAGTTGGCTCCAATTCATAGCAACCCCTGCTTGGGTTTCCAAGGCGGTATCACTATGGAATTAGATTGCCCAACCTTCCTCCCAAGGAGTGGCTGGTGGGTTTGAACCACCAGCCTTCTGGTTAGCAGTCAAATACACTCCACCACCAGAGCTCCCATACAAAATACTGTTGTTGTTGTTGTTATGTGCCGTCAAGTCAAACCCGACTCATAGTGACCCCTCCTTGGGTTTCCGAGGCAGTATCACTACGGAAGTAGGATTGCCCAACCTTCCTTCCGAGGAGTGGCTGGTGGGTTTGAACCGCCAGCCATCTGGTTAGCAGGCAAGTGTCTTAGCCACTATGTTACCAGAGCTCCCGTACAAAATATTAGGGGTTAGTTAATATGGATTATTTCCTTTTGAAATTCTAGTAACATGTTTTTCAAGTCTCTCTCATCATCTTCATCATGTCTACTGACATCAGTTAGTGAGTTTTTGTTTACAAGTATTGTGTGTCCTAACATGACTAAATGGAAAAAATGGAGTTTACTAGATCACACAACTGAATAGCCCAGGAGAGATATTATCCAGAACTCAGATTGTGTAGTCAGGGTCCTGGTTTCTTTCTTAGTTTCTTAGCTCCTTCATACTCCAAGATTTGAGCTAGCAACTCCCAGGGCTGTGTGTTTACTTGTTTATAAACATCAGGAAAGAAACAGTCTCATTTCCTAAAAGTTTAAACCAAAGTCCCTGAACCAGGCCTCTTTGGTGTTGGTTGTCCTGATTTGAGTCATGTGTTCAGTCCTGAAACAGTCTTTCTGGTCAGCCTTGAATATATGAATAGACTAAAGCCATTTCAGTTCTCTCACAAACTCCAGCCTAGTCATTTCCACCACACTGTTCAACTGGGACATTTGAAAGGCCTAGAGGCAACCAACCAATGTTCACTACTTTTCTTCCTTCCTTGACTTGATCGGCAAATGTGTTTCTTGAGTTTTTGTTGTTCAAAATTTTTATATTGGAGGTTTATCTCTTCCCTTTTACTTTAGCCTTACTTAACAATACCTAAAGAACAACTGAATTCAAGAATGGGTCCAGACTTTGTATAATTGTGTTATATTATTGTTAGTTCTCTATAGAAAACTAATCAGAAAATAAAGGGATAAAATAGATTAGTAATACTTGTATATTTATTTAGAACCCTGTTAACAGTCTGTGTCTTTTTTGTCATTTTTCTTAGGTTCAAAACTGGCCAAATCAATGGTGACCTGCTGATATACCATGTCTTGCTGACTTTAAAGCCATATTATGCAAAGCCATATGAAATTGTAGTGGACCTTACCCACACTGGGCCTAGTAATCGCTTTAAAACGGACTTTCTCTCCAAGTGGTTTGTTGTTTTTCCTGGCTTTGCGTATGACAATGTCTCTGCAGTCTATGTCTATAACTGTAACTCCTGGGTCAGGGAGTACACCAAGTATCATGAGCGGCTGCTGACTGGCCTCAAAGGCAGCAAAAGGCTCATTTTCATAGACTGTCCTGGGAAGTTGGCTGAGCACGTAGAACATGAACAACAGAAGCTCCCCGCTGCCACCTTGGCTTTAGAAGAGGACCTGAAGGTTTTCCACAATGCTCTCAAGCTAGCTCACAAAGACACCAAAGTTTCTATTAAAGTAAGTCTCACTTTGTGTTACATAAATGATTCATTGCCTTTCCTCACTTACCAGACTATATCCTGGCTCTTCTGGGTGTCCTCCTATAGTGAGTCAAATGTGAATTAGTTCCAGATGTAGAAGACCAAGATTTCTATCTTCATGGAGGGTCCTGCAGAAGAAGAGGTGTACACTTAATTATGTTCTAGGTTGGGTTGGAGATAGGAGAATATTGCAAAGAGGGGAGTTTGCTATATATTCTTACCTTCAAATGGTAGAAAATTACCTAGCCAGAGTTCTGATTAGTACATGTTTTGTGCAGAGTGAGGAACACGAACCTTCAGGATACAATCAGTACAGTAATTGTCTATACGATTCTTCACCTTTTTAAAACCAAAAATAAAACTTTTATTTTAAAATGTTATCAGTCTCTTAAGAGTGTTTACCACAATAATTATTGAATCTGATTAAATATATAATGGTAGTAACTCTTCCTTAAATAGCAAACATGGTGTTTTGATTGATTGGTTGGTTGGTTTTTAGTGCCTCTCCAAAATCTACATAATAGGATTTCATTTTTCTATGTCCCACCCCCTCACTACCACTTTCCAGGTTGGTTCTACTGCTGTTCAGGTAACCTCTGCAGAACGAACAAAAGTCCTAGGACAATCAGTCTTTCTAAACGATATATATTATGCCTCGGAAATTGAAGAGATCTGTCTAGTGGATGAGAACCAGTTCACCTTAACCATTGCAAACCAGGGCACACCACTCACCTTCATGCACCAGGAGTGTGAAGCCATTGTCCAGTCCATCATTCACATCCGGACCCGTTGGGAATTGTCACAGCCTGACTCCATCCCCCAGCACACCAAGATTCGCCCAAAAGATGTCCCTGGGACACTGCTTAATATCGCATTACTTAATTTGGGGAGCTCAGACCCCAGTTTACGGTAGGCCTTTTATATAGTCTTACTTCAACTTTATTCAAGGTTTGTTGCTTTTTAAATGAAGTCACTTAATAAACTTTTAAAGCAGCCTCTTTCTTAATACTGTAAATAGGAAGGTATGCTCTGTTGGTTAAAACCAGCGTGACTTCATCCATGCTGGGTTGTGCACATGAACTGTGGAATTCTGGATAGAATGATTCACACTAAACCAATATGTGTTCTTTTTCCAGGAAGCTTTCATCTGAAATAGGAGATAGTAAAAAGAAAATGTCTTTAAAAAAAATCGACTTTAAACTAAGTCTTTCTTCCTCTGAGTCTTCTAATTAAGTGTCCCCATGTTCAAAACTGTATTACTATTAAGTTTCCTATCAGATTAGCACTGTTTGACAGAGGAAGGCCTAATGTTCAGTAACTGAAATAGTAACATTATTGCATACTTTCCAATTCTTGAAGGAAATCTTAGGACAAATATAGATGTCATCTGAGTATAGTGTAATTAGTTCTGTTTAGGCTTAATAATTTGAATGTGGATGTGGAAAGAGCAGGGCCTGTGGAATCAGTAGATTTGCTTTAAATCTAGGTCTACTATATTCTAGGTATATATGACTTTGGGCAAGGTACTGACATTCTCTGAGTTCTAGTCCTCATTTGTAAAACGAAGGTAATAGTGCCTACCTTGTATAGCTACAGAGGTTTAACAAATAATATAATAGTAGGATAGTACCAACCAAAAAACCCATTGCCATAGAGTCATTTCCAACTCACAGGAACCCCCATAGCATTTCTAAAGCTGTAAATCTTTATGGAAATAGACTGCTTCATTTTTCTCCCATGGAGCTTCTGGTGTGTTTAAACTGCCAGCCTTTTGGTTAGCAGCCAAGTACCTTAACCACCGTGCCACCAGAGCTCCAATAGTACAGTATAGCACCTAACAAATAGTTTGTGCTCAATATGTATTATCCCCCTTCCCTATCTTCATCTCTTCATACCCCTTCCTTCTTTCCCACTTGCCTTTTCGTGTTAGAATAATTCTTTGTCCCAAATAAGACTATCAAGATTTTTATAGATAAAAATTTTCAGTTTCCATAAATCTTCCCCAGGGTTCATAATATACCCAGGTTTTATACTTTTAGGATCTCAGATTCTCCCTTATTTAAAAGAGGGAATTGGGCAGGGCAGATCTACTACAAAGATTCTTTATCTTATCTGGTGCACAATCTCCCAGAAATTGTAGGCAAAATTTTGTGTTTGCTTGGCTTTCATTATCTCAGGTCCGTGACATACATCCCCAGTTTGAGGAACCACAGTTCTTTATAGCTTGTTAAAACATATAGAGTAAAACAATGTCAAAATAGTTTAACTCAGAATTCCTACAGATTAGTAAGAGATACATAAACTTAGAAATGGTAACATTAATATTCTCATTTTAGGAAAATGGAGCTATAAACCTGCTTTTGGTCTCTAATTCAAAATTCGTCATACAAGAAAACTAACATTCTTCTAAGAATTACTAACTTGAGTGAGCCTGCATTCTTTTCTAGTGAAATAAAGTAAGCTGGTAGCTTCTCCTCTTCACAGAAGCGTATCATCCCAGGCGAAAAGCCTTTACATAGACTTATATTTCAGTGGCTTTTTCTCCCTGTGTGACTGTAGTGTAAATACATGAGCAACATCGCAGCACTATTTACGATAGCCAAAAGATGGAAACAACCTAGATGTCCATCAACTGAGGAATGGATAACCAAACTGTGGTAAATACACACAATGGAATACTATGCAATGCTAAAGAATAATATATAATCTGCAAAACACCGCATAACGTGGATGAACTTGGAGGACATTATTCTGAGTGAAATAAGTCAATCACAAAAGGACAAATATTGTATTAGTCCTTTATTGTAAAAGTTAAGGAAAGGTTTATCTATAGAAGGAAATTTTCT